AGTGAGACACCTCACTTAATGCTATCAGAGAACCGGGGTTACGCAAGTAACCTATTGTTCTGCAGTCGGACCTATCTCCTGAGAGCAGCGATAGGGCGGGAGATGTTATCAGTTTGACCATTGAAATATCGCGGAGATTTGAACGAGTTCTGTTGTCGCATATCAATTTCACACACAACGAGGTAGCATTGAAAAAGCGTGTTTTACACCATAAGCAGCTTTGTGGCGGTCGACTGATGAAACAGTCCAATCAAAATGCATGAATATGATATTTAGACGATGACTATTAGTTCTGTGCATTTTAATGTTCGCTGATTATCTTAATAAACGTTAGAGGATGATGAATTTTAACAAAATATATAGTAAAATCACTTGCCTTGCAATTGCAATTCTTTCTCCCACGAACATCTGTTTCCCCGGAGCCGGACTAATCCCTCATCACGTTCAAACGTCTTGACCCCGCCTTTGCTTCAGTTTCATTGGTTGAAACTGTAAACCAATCATTTTCCTTTCTGCCCTCAGAACATGTTTGAGTAAGTAAAACTCCCATCTGCCTCTGCTCCTCACCACGGTGCGTCTCAGGTGCTGCGGTAATCACTCAAGGGGGTAATCCATCGACCGGAAGTTGAAGCCGGCCGGGTGCCGCCATGTTGTAGCAGAACTTCACTTGCGTTAGCATTTCCATTGACTCCCATTCATTTTGGCGTCACTTTGACAGCGAATAACTTTACATCTGAGGCGTTTAAAGACTCCATTTGTCCATTATTTATTTCTAAAGAAACACGACAATGTATAAAGGGCTCCATTACCTTCTATGTTACATTATGGCCCCGTAGAAACAGATTTAGTAAAAATAGGCTAACGATTGCGTCATAACCACTCGACTCTCTGTCGCGCTGTACAGAAATTACCGTACAGACAGGAGGAGAAGCTCGCAGGCAATCGGGGGGACGTCCCGTCAAGGGAGAAGCCCATAGATAATGATTCCATAAAAGCAACGGAATACTTACTCCTGCTCACTCACGCCAAAGAACTCTTTGCTCAAGTTCCCCGTCTCTGCAAGATTAAAGGAGAACTCCGGCGCAAAATGAACCTTTGGTCTAATTACACATTGTTACCTAGTCAACCGTTATCTGAGATTTGTTTTCATGATTATCGAATGTAAATAGTTTTATCTCTAAAAACAGTTTAGCCTATAAAGCTAGTATAATGCTAGTATATTGGGCATAGTGTAATGACAAATAAAAATCGCTTGTGAATACCACTAACAAGGCTGAAAATAGCCCCACACTAACACGGTAGCATAATGAGGGTCCCTACCTTCAAACCGAAGCATTGAGAACTTTGTCAGTGTCCAGACAGTTTAATAAGAAGATATTTTAAACATAGAGTCAACTTCGCGAATACAGGCAGGAGCCATCTTTGAAATACAGCCTTTACCAGTCGATCTACGAACGCCGATCCAAGTGCGCTGGTGAGATGTGAACGAGCTATAAGTTGTGATAAGGTGAGCGCGAACAGCAGGCTTGGATCGGTGTTCGTAGATCGACTGGTAAAGGCTGTATTTCAAAGATGGCTCCTGCCTGTATTCGCGAAGTTGACTGTATGTTTAAAATATCTTCTTATTAAACTGTCTGTACACTTACCAAGTTCTCAATGCTTCGGTTTGAAGGTAGGGACCCTCATTATGCTACCGTGTTAGTGTGGGGCTATTTTCAGCCTTGTTAGTGGTATTAACAAGCGATTTTTATTTGTCATTACACTATGCCCAATATACTAGCATTATACTAGCTTTATAGGCTAAACTGTTTTTAGAGATAAAACTATTTACATTCGATAATCATGAAAACAAATCTCAGATAACGGTTGACTAGGTAACAATGTGTAATTAGACCAAAGGTTCATTTTGCGCCGGAGTTCTCCTTTAACGTTGGCAATTTTCACGCACAGCTACTAGAAGATTAACGTCTGTCAGACAGGTTGCTCACGTCATCAAGCTTAGTTTGAGTCGGTTTGAGTCTGCGCGTCAGGAACGGAAGTGCTCAAAAATCGCTAAAAATGGGCTTCAACTGTCTTAACTGAGTTCCAATGAGATGGCTCTGTCCACTTCTTATAGAGGTAGTAAGTCCCGCCCATCCGTAAAACTCCAAGTGGACCTCTAGGTTGAAAAAGCGTCAATGCAAGTGAATGAGAGAAAATAATTATTTTCTGATCCCGTTTGAATTGTGCCATGAATGTGAACATATGTTGTCTGTGAATTTTTTATATAATTTCTCATGTAACGAGTTTGACAGTATATTGTATGATTCTTTGGCTAGCAGTTGTGGAATAGACATAACGAGAAAGACTACACGTCGCATATGTGACGTCACCGCATAACACATTTTCCCTCCACAAATCACGGTGCGATAATCTAAGGAATTAGATCGAGATGCCTGTGTGTTTTGTACCCAAATGTCACCATTCAAACAAAGGCATGTTTAGCGGAATCCGTGTGCTAGTGGTGGTGACGTATATCAAACGCGTCGAAAGCAGCTAAGAGTTGTAGTCCACAAAGTGCTCTCACACAAAGTCTAACCATATGAAAATTCTACCCGCTAAATTGTAGCATTCTTTACACGAAATATTATATAAAAAATTCACAGACAACATATGTTCACATTCATTGCAAAATTCAAACGGGATTAGAAAATAATTATTTTCTCTCATTCACTTGCATTGACGATTTTTCAACCTAGAGGTCCAGGGGGGTAAGCGGAAGGGGCGGGACTTACCAGCTCTATACTGTCTATGTAATCACTCCGCCCAAGTAGCAGTGCTTCGCATTCTGAGAATATAGTTCCCAATATATATACGGTTAAACAGGGCCGGTGTTCTGTCGATCTGTCCTACCTTGTCAGTTTTTCCTACCGTAGCGCAAAATGATAGCCATATCTATCGGTTCATCCTACCACATCGTAAAATCCTACTGCGCGTTTCTGCTTCGCGTCTGTGACTACATAAAATATTTCAGTGTAACTTATTAGGCCATGGTACGGTGATTTTACAGTGCAAAGTAACGTTACCTCATCAGATTGTCCTATGAAATAAACGGGTAGGATGATTTTACGGTGGAAAATACCTCATCAGATTGTCCTACCAGTATGAAATAAACGGGTAGAATGATTTTACAGTGCAAAATACCTCATCAGATTGTCCTGTATGAAATAAACGGGTAGAATGATTTTAGGCTACAGTGCAAAATATTCATAATAGAATAAATAAAATCAAATTGCAATATTTAATAAATTCATAGAAATTTTAAATCAAATTGTTTTCTGCAAATTCCACCAGATTATTGTTCTACATCTCACTGACTACCAATGTGGTGATTTTCATGTTGTTCTACTGTTTTATTACTTAATAATTAACTGCCAAAGTCCTATACTGTATACCTTGTTATACAGCAATATTTAATAAATTCATAACAGAAATTTGCAGAAAAAAATTTGATTTAAAAATGTTATGAATTTATTAAATATTGCTGTATAACAAGGTATACAGTATAGGACTTTGACAGACAATTATTAAATAATAAAACAGTAGATCAACATGAAAATCACCTTACAGTCGTTGTCTGTGAGATGTAGAACAAGAATCTGGTGGAGTTTGCTAAAAACAATTTGATTTTATTTATTTTATTATGAATATTTTTTAAAAAGTCACCCGACACCAAGCGCATACACCTTGAGCCTACCACGCAACCTCGTGTAGACGCGCAATATATTTTTAAGCGTAGATGGCGTGACCGTGCTTTTCTGAAGCACAGATGGCGTGACCGCAGTAAAATACCTCATCAGATTGTCCTAACAGTATGAAATAAACGGGTAGGATGATTTTACGGTGCAAAATACCTCATCAGATTGTCCTACCAGTATGAAATAAACGGGTAGAATGATTTTACGGTGCAAAATACCTCATCAGATTGTCCTAGAAAAATAAACAGATAGGATGATTTGACAGTCTAAGTTTTTAATCTGTATAGTCCCTGGACAGATGTTACAAATTTACTCTAAACCAGATGATAATGTAAATTGAAATAAGATTAGTTATTGAGATCATTTATAATCAAACAGATAGAATATACAGAAAGGAGATTATTAATCAAATTCATTTCAAAAATTAAAAATCATGCAACACAGAGGCACAATACAAAACAAGCAAAACAATAAGTTATTAATATAAATATGAACTTAGACCACACTGTGCTGCAGACTGTTATCAATGCAAATGATAAAGGGACATGCACTCAAACTATACTACACACTTTTTGCACATAAAGACATTTAGGCTACTGAAGTTGCAACATTTAAAATGTGCCCATCTATTGCACCTCTCACACTGTACCTGAAAATAAAAGAGATGAATATATATGTAAATTAGTACATTTAAAACAATATAGAATCTGAAAACATGAAAAGAAAAATTACCTTTTCATTTAAATAACAAAATTCTACAAAAAAACATGGCACATAAAGTTAAACTATTGCTTTTTGGGTGTGTGTATTATTATATTATAAGTTGTATACCGTTTCAATCATGCTTTCGTTGGGGTCGTCTTCCAGCATGCTGCAAAGCACACAGTACTCCTCTGCATTACCTATACATTTGTTAACATTAAAAAAAGATAAATATGAATTCATTGGACAATCATATCATAGTGTACTAAATGTCAACATAAACGCCATGAAAAAAAATTCTCAGACCTGTTCTGAAATTACATTAAATCAAATCATTCTTGCATTACTTTTTGCATCCTTCAAGTTATTTTTTACTCTGAAAAATGTATTTAATCAAGTAAGAATATCCAAATATACAGAGGGGATAGAGAAGAAAATTATAGAGTGAAGATAGCATCTACAGAGGTGTACTACATGACACACTGTAGATTACAATACATATATTACTACGGTATTACAGAATTAAAACAGCACTCACCTCGACATCCAAGAAGTGTGCAGGCTACTTTCATACGTGCTGAGCTGACCGCTTCAGGCGTAGTCTGAACATTGCTGATCGTTCCTGTCAGCAGGTATTGTTCAGCAAACTGAAACATTAATTGACAGATGACTTAATTAAATTCATTATAACATATCCAGACCTGAAGCCACTCTTGAAAATATATGAACACATACATTCAATACCAATACTCCACAACTGCTGGAATCCATCTGCAGGTCGTGCTTCAGGGTCCGTAATTGCCACTGGACTGTTTGCTCATCACATCTCAGTTTAAAAAAATTCCTAGATGTCGTCGAGACATTTGTACTGTTTAGAATCGAATAGCATTAAAAAAAAAAGATGAAACAGTTCTAACAAGGTTACCTCCAGTTCCGCAGAATTTTATGTTCATAAGAACATTCATGTCCCATTGGGTCAATCACAAGGAGCAGTGATTTTTCAGGCATGTTGATAATCTGGAATATAATGTCATGTAATCATAAAATATTTTTAGATCACTACTAACAACTACAGGAAGCTGCTTAAAGGTATTGTAGGTAGGAATTTTATAAAAAACTTTTTTCCAAATTTATTTAAACTTTCTGTATATATCAATGCATAATTAAAATGTAAGTACTCTGATAAAAAGAGTATAAAAATCGAGTGACTCTAGACCGTTTAATCTGCACTAAACACAGCTCATTATTTCCATACGGGACGAAACAAAGGATTGGCTTAGGCGACTGTCACTCTCTCGCAACCATGGCAACCACCCTTTTGCCACAGAGGACCTGCCCACTTGCGCGTACCCGTTTGATTTGAGGAATTCAAGAGGCACGGAACCTAGGAATAGCAAAACAATGGCAGAGAAAGACCAATCAAAATTCACATATGCAGTTCGCGAAGGCAAACCAGGCAAAAAAAGGAAGACAGTAACGTTACTAGAAAAGGTAATGAACAAAAAGTCTTTGGATAAACAACGAAATAAAACGCGTGTCAATATCGGTGTGGCTTTCCAGCGATGGCGAGAACTGAGAGACCTCAAGGGGCTGAAAAGTGACGCCTTGTGACGACCTCCTCTGCTTCGCCCTCGACCCCGGATCTGTCCTCGAGCTGACGATGCGGTACTTGTCTCTGGAGTGTAGTCCTCATCAGAGTCCACAAAGCTTTCATCATGGAAACTCTTACATGCAGAACACCATATATGTTATGAATGTTACACGAAATTCATCTTCATCACAGTGTAAATGATGGCAATGGAAAAACGTGTATCATGCAACCTGTTTTTAGCTTTGCCTTATAGATAACTAGTAGCGAATCAATAAATATATATTTTAAACTTTACCAATATCAATATGCTAGCTTGATAGTGAGTACTAAAATACATCTTATTTGTTTATCTTCATAATGATAAAGTTAGATTTTTTTATTACATGTGATTCTGACATGATGTCACTACATGCACTGCGCTCCTTCCTCTCCGCTCGTCTCAGGTAAATAATGCGTCTTCAGCTCAGCGGTCGGAGTCGCGCGTTCATGTGTTTTTGGGGTGTGGCTTTGGAAGGAGCCCAGAAGGGAGTGAATGGAAATAATGAGCTGTCTTTAAAACAGTCGTGAGAGGTCTACAGACACTCGATTTTTATACTTTCTTTTTCAGAGTACTTACATTTTAATTATGCATTGATATATACAGAAAGTTTAAACAAATTTGGAAAAAAGTTTTTTTTATAAAATTCCTACCTACAATACCTTTAATGTTAAGGTCTGAATGGAACCCATTTAGGCTAGCCATGAACATTAATACAGGAAGAAGTACTTTAGAAACCAGCCTTTATTAATTATTATTGCAGAGATGGGGTTTGGGCATTGAGTGCATTGTGTACGTAATTAGATTTTTTGATCCAGACACTTTATTTCACCTACCTTTTGTCTTCTGCATTCTCCTTACCCATGTCTCCTGTTCTTCCCTCAGACTCATCCCCCAGAAACAGTCCCACTGACCCAGTCCCACTGACCCAGCCCCAAACCCCATCTCTGCCATAATAATTAATAAAGGCTGGTTTCTAAAGTACTTCTTCCTGCATTAATGTTCATGGGTAGCCTACATGGGTTCCATTCAGACCTTAATATTAAATAGTTTACTGTTATATGTCAACAAAATTATACAAGACATTTTCACCTGCTATACCCAATGTTTAGATCTGTTTGGGTATTTATGCAAATTAGCACATATTTAATTAGATTATGCACCATTTGTCTATGTTAACAAACAATTGCAAAAAACTTGTATTACATTTTTTGTTTGTCTTGATGTAAGTAATCAACTCAGTGATTTTCATGATGATATCTAAAGGTTAAAATTTTTACCCTTTTCACGTGAGAAAAAGAATGAATAGGCGTATGAATGGGATATATTTGGGTCTTTTTCTAAACTTTCCCCTAATGGGATTCTTCGGGGCTTTTTTTTCCTTACTCAGGACATATTGAGGATACAAAATAAGTTGAGTTTGCTTCTGTTGCAATTTGTTCAAGGTTGACCCTCATTTTGGCTTAAAATGACTGGACTATCATAACTCTGCCGTCATTATGTTAAGCCCGCCCACCAACTCTACACGATCTGATTGGCCGGACCAGTTTTTGGTTTTTCCAGCTCAAAAGTTTATGGAGAGTTGCTAGACCACACTTTGCTGCAAAATAATTTTTGCTGCCGCTTGTGTGCGTCTAGATTTCTAGGCTAGGTTAACCCCAAACCGACGCTCCATGTACGGTCAACGCCGCCGCTGCACACGGGAATTGTCACAGATCGCTCGAATAATAGCTTGACTCCGGCGCATGTAGGCAGTTATAGTGTTGTAAAATGCAGAATTTACTTGTACAACAGCTGCTAGCAAAGATATACGCCATGACTGATGACACCCAATCATAGAGCCGAGCGTGAGCCTCTACTACGTCATCGTTTCTAAAGTCCTCCGTTTTGACCCGTCTACACTAAAACGCCCTCCGGAGATTCAAAATGAAAAACGGATCGGCAGCGTTTCTAAACTTCTCCGTTTTGGGTCTCCGTTTTTGCCGTTTTAGTGTGGACGGGAGGTGCAAACGTAGCAAAAGGTCTCCGTTTTTAAACGAAAACGCAGTAGTGTGGACGGGGCCTCAGGTTCAATCCTTCCTCCTTTTCTTCCACGCTTCCTCATATTCATTCAGAAGAACCTCATCACCAACATTGTAAATCAAGTCTTTGTACTTCTTCTGGACCTTTTTAGCATATGCTTCCTTCTGTTTCTCCTGTGATTTACAAATGTTTTCTTCTGCCTGTTTTTTGGCCTCATCTCTCTTTTTTTTATCGGAAACTACATAATCACTAAAACTTGATTCCACAGGGAGACTGATGGTGGAAAGCTAAAAAACAAGGCAATATAATTGAAGCAATATAAATTCATTTGTGAACTATTTAAATTTTCACATGTGCATGTATATTATGAAAAGCCCATGGTAGCATGAGAAGAGGCCCTTTGCTAAAAACATGGTTGTTTACTATTCATAACAAACTGTTAGGAATATTAGTGACCCTTATTGTCTGTTGTGGAACAAAGTCCAAAAAATATGATCATTACCAGTTTAAGATCAAAGGTTTTATAACAGATGTTAAAATTGAATACAGTTCATCAATTCAGGGTACCAATAATAAAAACGATATTTACTGTATGATTAGTTTTGTAAAAAAAAACTATGGGCATGGGCGTGCTTTCAGTGGCAAAACTCGCCGCTCAGTTGCTAGGATAGTTGCTACAATGTTGTACATGATTGCATACGAGCCAACAACAATGTCTTAACGATGTTGTGGAGCTGCAATATGGCTTCTATATGTAAGCAATATGGTTGCTAGGTAGCTTTAAACGGTTGCTAGGGTGTGGTTACACAGTTACATGTTGTTCTGGATGAACACTATCCTGTATATAATTATCATAGGATTGGCAAAGGAGAAAAAAGGCAGTAAAATATAAATGAACCATGATGAGCAATACATTTGTTACTGTATTTATTATTCTTTGTTAATAAAAATACAGCTGTTCGTTGTTTGTTCATATAACTTCACAGTGCATTAGGCTAACTAATGTTAACAAATAGAACTTTTAATTGTAATAAGGCTACTAGTAAATAGTGAAATTAACATTACCAAAGATTAATAAATGCTCTTATAAAGATTAAGAAGTGCAGTTTATGAATAGTTAATATTAACTAGTTTGGTGTTATCGATTTGTTATACACCGATTCAGATCTCTTTTGAAGAGACAGATCAGTTATTTTAACCATTCATAAAAGTAAATCGGTTCAAATCGGACGTGCCATTAGCTTACACACACGGCACGCGTTGTGTGATTATCCTAGCAGATAAGGACTAAAGGACATCGCACAAGATTTGTGTCAACACAGAAAACATTTAATCACTGGATAGGTTTTTTGTTTATTCAAAATGTGGTTTATGTCAGCTGAATGTGCGGAACGCTTTTCAGAGAGGATAGGGCAATTTTAGTAGGCTACAATTCACACCTAGCGGTAATTCAGGAAAAATAATCTCTGAAAATGCTCCACGTGAAACTTTGTTCTTTTGATCTTTTACTATCGTATCAATTCTCAATAGATTTTGATTAATATGCGCGATGAAGGGAGAGCAAGGCAGTTTGAATACAGTGAGAGTGCGCGCGCGCGACCGGCTCTCTCTCTCTCTCTATTCACCTTTTTCACGGGACGCGAAACTACCCGTCATGCTTTGCGCGTGCGCGTAGACAGGATGCTCAAAACTTCCGGTTCGCAGCTTGATGTTTATGTAAGTTAGGCGTTATTGGACATTTCTGAAACAAAGTTTGTAATCTCTTTTACTTAATTTTAATGGCAATAATGGCAACAAGCAATGGCAACATTAGTTCGCGGTGGCAGCACGGGCAAGATTATTTGACGAAAACCGTTAAAAACGTAACTTTGTCTGTCCCTCATCCTACGAAATTAACAAGCGCCACCTCCTGGATTGATGATATGACACAATGGCCATCAGTCACATATGTTGACATATTTAATTATCTTGTTTTGTCTGAGGGTGTCGACGGCGAGGAGCTTAGAAATTATAAAAGCACGGAAGCATACAATACTTACACAGTAACAAAATTGGACGAATTCTTTGCCATAATCATCAGCAGTTCACAATCTTAAAAGCGGAGGTAGAGCCAGACTATAAATAGACCCCATCACATTGCGTGGGTTATGGTACAAAATAACGGAGTAGTGGAAACAGCTGGATGCTCCTGCGTAGCTGGCCCTGGTAGGTCTTGTAGTCATGCTGCTGCTGTGTTGTGGAAGGTGGGTATTTATAAATAGAGCAACACTGCTAGTCTGGCTTAACATACAGCAAATACTATGTGCAGCGTGATTCAACTTGAATAATTAATTTTTACAG